ACTGGGTTGATCTTGCATGAGATGATAAAAGAAAAGGAAATGATGGCAATATTGAGCTGGTACTGATTTGGTTTTACATGGCATGGAAATAAAAATAAAGATGAAAATGACAGTGGATGCAAATGGGAGGAAGTTAAATTTCACCAGAAAAGAGCACAGCATGAGAAATACAACATTGTACATGGTTTAGGTTAGACGTTTGACACAGAATAAACACATATACACCAACAAAGAAGAATAAAAGGTGCTCAGAACATTCAGTTTCCTTCAGTCAATTTGCAGTTTTTTAATTTCTTCTCCTACCCAGTGTTTTATTGTCTGTTTAATTTCATATTCAGACTCAGTAAATGACAGTGTGTTGACCGGAGAGACAATAAGGAGGAGGAGCGTCACATCAGGATTGTAATTGGTTTTCCACTGAAGCTGCACGGCTGGGAGGTTTTGGTCAGGCTAACATTTCAATTAAAGCCGGTTTATCAGGGTGTAAAAGTGAAGCATGAAGAATGAAGAGTGTGTGTAGATGTCTGGAGCAATTTAATTTTTTCTCTCAGGGGACAAAACAAGAGCGATTGTTTTTCATGTACACACTGCGGCACATCTCCCGCTGCAATTTTCCGTCGGGATGGAAAATTGATTGTTAGTGTAGGAAAAGGAGAAGGAGGAACACGCAGCAGTAATTTCTCCATGATTGCCACAAAACATCACAACGATCCAACAACAACAGATGAATGGCTTCGGAGAGAAGAGCTGCTATTTAATGGGTAAATAAAATAATAACGCTACTTAAAATAATTATTAGGTTTTCTCTATTGAAACCTGGTGAGTTCTGAGAGATAATGTTGTATGTCTTATTTTCAGCTGGTCTTTAATTCTGGTGTCTTTTTAGGAGAATATTAAAGAATACTTCACCCCCAAAATGATCGTTTGCAGAGGGGGAACTGCGCATTGGTTCGACAGCCCATTGTTCCGACCATATTAAACTCATTGTTCCGAAGTCCGTTCCGAAATCATGATGCCCTGTGGTTAAGATCTGGTTAGGTTTAGGCACAAAAACCACTTGGTTAGGGTCAGGAAAAGATCATGGTGTGGGTTAAAATGAAAAAGAAAGTGACAAACACATAAGCCATGAGCCTGCTCCACCTCAAGCCAGTCGCGGCGCACCATACGCCTGCCGCGAGCCGTTCAGCACCGCGGACAGTCGGACTAATGGGATGTCGAACCAATGGGCTGTCGAACCAATGACATGGACCCTGCAGAGGTGGGACCAAGTCATTGTTTTGCAAGTCCCAAGTTAGTCTCAAGTCTTTGCACTCAAGTCCTAAGTCAAGACTGAAAAGTCCCAAGTACCATGTCCTGAGGTGCCCATGGCTTGGTAGGGAGATCAGGCAATGTCTTTGCCGCAGCAGCTGTGGGTTCAAAGTCCTAAACTTTGAGTTTCAAGTCCCAAACAAGTCATAATGCACTTTGCACCAAATGTAATGTCACTGTAATGACAAAATAATAACTTAAGCTAAGCATTAGCTCATTAACTGTGTTAATATTAGCCTCGGCTTATCGTTCATTGCCCATCTTCAAACGTCAAAAGAGGTTAGAAGTCGTTGCGTCCCCGTCTGTAATTTGAGACTTGCACATTTTGCATACTGCAATTTGTTTTTTCTCAGATTCTCAGTCATCCAGGTCATGGTAATCATAAGTGCTATATTGTACACAACTGGACTTGAAGATGTTTCACCTCTCATCCAAGAGTCGCAGGCTTTATACTCTGTGTTGGTGTGAATCCTTACAGAGTTGCTGAGGTCACGTGTCAACTCCAAGTGAAGTCTTGAGTCACTGGTGTTAAAGTCCAAGTCAAGATCCAATTCTTGTTTGATTTTGTCAAACTGAGTCTAAAGTCATGAAATTTTATGACTTGAGTCTGACTCAAGTCCAGGCCTCTGACCATTTGTATATCACTTACACCCCGTGTTACATTGAATTTGTGAAGAAAGCTTTGTTTTTGCCTCCATAGTGAACGAAGGATCCAAAAACTAAGGAAAATGATTGATGAACTGAAGTCATAGAGAAGAAAAGTCCCTCCTTGGACCACAATGGGACCATATTTAGGAAAAAAATATGTACTGTAGTCAATAAAGAGAGACAAATAACTTTTGGATCCTGTTGGAATTGTGCCATTAATTATACATATGATGTTCGTCAATTTAAAAGATAAGGTCAAGAAAGTTGCAGGCTATTGTGAAACTGAAGTATAAGACTGTGAAAATACATAACTAGAATGACTACACAGGACGCGCAAGTGATGTCATAGCTTCCTCTCTCATCAGTGTTGCTGATGCATTCACGTTATAGGAGACCACATTTAACAACAACAAAAATGTTTCAAAACATATGTATACAAACTCTCACACAACTTGTGCAGTATAATCCAAGTCTCATTTATCCAGTCGTATGCTCAGTACTTCACAAACACAAACCTTACTATTTAAAACATGTCTGCACTGTGCCCCTATGATTTTAATTGATCAAGAATTTTCTCAGTTTTTGGATTCTTCGTTCACCGTGGTGGCATACGAGAAAAACAAGGTTTCTTCCTAAATTCAATGTAACATGACGTGAGTATCTGGTAAAGTAACAGTCGTTTGGGGGGGGATAAAGTATTCCTTTAACTGTACATAAAAATATAGATTAAATTGCCAGTAAGACAAAATTTGAGACAAAATATTATCATGATTATTATGAGACAAAATCTGCTTTCTGCGTCCTTTGTTGTGTCTGCTGCTTGTGTTCGAGGTTCACTGCTAACTCGCGTCTGTTCTTTTTCTGTTCAGTTCCACTCTGACAGAAAATAAAAATTAATTGCAGAGTACATCAGCACTGTAAGATGCCTGTCTTTAAATTAATTTAGGTGCATGTGTTTTGCGTCGTTCATTAGTATCGGTTCGTTTGTGAAAGGGGATAAGGCGTCCTCTCAATCGACACTAGTTACCAAATACAACAGGTGATTTTAAATTACCATTCAACAAATAATGAGAATCTAATTTGGATTAAATTTTACCCTTAATTAACTCAACTTTGTTTTGAAGTATATCATAATTTAATTTGTGTGATGAGAGTGAGGCGCTCACTCATTCCCCATTATTTAATACTTTTAAGGCTTTTTAGCCTTTATTTGACAGGGTAGTTTTAGTGTTGAAGGGGAGAGAGAGATGGGATGACATGCGGCAAAGGGCCATGGGTCAGAATTGAGCCTGCTGCAGCAGGGATGGGGCCTTTGCACATGAGGTGCCCATTTTAGCCGATGAGCTACTTGGCGCCCCTTTAATTGATCTTTTAATCGATTTAATTTTAAATTCTTAAAGGTCATATCTGCTGATCATGATGTAAAAGTAGGCAGAGAGAAACAATCACAATAAAACAGTTGAAACGTGGATTACAGGCGAGTGTACAAAATATTCTGTATCTCTGGTGCTGAAATGTGTTTATACTATTCAGTTTTGGAACTGATGTCCATACATGATGTGACAGTTAATGTAAGGCAGACCACACTGCACACAATGGGCTGTCATTATCATGCAGACCACGTTTAAATGATATTGTTATGTACCTATCATATGGAAGTACATCGAATGTCCCTGAAATCTACTGTGTTGTCTGAGGTGATGTCTGAGGTCAGGAACAGACATTGTAAACCCGTACATAAGATGAATGTGTATCTTCCCAGAGACTCTGCTGGAAACTGAATGCATTACATACTTGAAAATCAAACATTCTCCACAACACACAAACACTGCAGCAGCAGCACCTACTATAAAGCCACCACAAACAAACTGCTTCAAAACCTCCGACGATCAAATAACTGAGAACACGGTAGCAACATTTGTTCAGCCTTTGTTCTAACTTTAAACATCCAGACAAGCTCTCAAAACTAATGTGGGCTGATATGATGCAGACTGATCGTATATATAACTGATTTATTTTGCCAGGCTGACTGGAATATATTCAACATTTTTTAAAGGAACAGTGTGTAAGATTTAGGGGGATTTACTGTCATTCATAGACTGCAGAAATAAGAGACTTAGCTATCGTGATGTCACCCATTAGTTTGGTGTTTCGGCCATCGCCATCTTGTTTTTTGGAGGCAGAAGTGACCATATTTGGACAAGAGGGTGGAGCTGTGGAGAAGCGAGGGGTGGATCTGACTCACAGACTGTAGAGACACCTCGCAGACAGCCTGTCACTCAAGCAGCCCCGCCCTTAAACTGCAAACAGGGGTCATGAATGTTGAAAATAACTATAGAGACCAAAACTGTTTGTTGTACCAGGCTGTAAACATGTTTATTTCTGCTGTTAAGTTGGGCATTTTAACATGGGGGTCTATAGGGAATGACTCACTCCTGGAGCCTCCCTCAATGGGCCATTACAGGAACTGCAGTTTTTGGCACTTCCACACTGGCTTCATTGTTCAGCCCCAGAGGTTGCAGTTTGGTGGCATCTAGTGGTGAGGATTGCAAATTGCAACCAGCTGAAACTTCTCCTGGTTAGAATTCCTTCAGTGTTCATTATTCAGGAGGTTTTTAGCATGAGTCTAATTATCCCCAGAGGTGTCTTCCTCTCCAAAACAGACGGACCAGGGGTCTAATTTATAAAAACAACTCATAGGATCCACACTGAAAATGTACGTACGGACAAAAGCCAAAAAGCTCTTAAATGGACACTATCATTGCTGTTTTTTTGTACTCAAAAATATTTTGCTATTAGTAGTTTGTTATTACTGTATTATTTTATGTATTATGTATAACTGGTTGTATATAAATGTAATTCTGAAGAGGAAGATGAGGAGGAGGCGATTAAAGTACAGGAAGAAGGATGGTACAGTGATGAGGAAGAGGAGTGCATGGAGAGATGAGGAGGAGGGAGAACAAGAGGAGTAACACAACAAAATGGGATAAGAAGGAGGACAACTGAGGAGGGTGAGGATGGTGGGGAAGAGGAGGTGTTCTTACCCAACTTCATGCCCCTTCCCCTGCGTCTGCCCTGCGATGGCGTCCATGATGGAGTCCTGCGAGTACATGCTAATGGGGGTGTTGTACTGGGCGTGGGTGATGGTGGCCTTGCCGCCGGGGCCCTTCACCTCTATGGGCTTATGGGTGGGGAGGGCGGCGTGGTTGGATCCTGGGCTGTTGTTGGCAGGAGGGGCGACGTGGTGACGGAGAGGGAGGAGAGGACGAAGGAAGACGGACAGGTGGAGGAAAAGGTAGAGGGACGTGTGTGAGGGCGGGAAACAAGAAGGTGGGCGACATAGCTGACAGTTTGTGTTAGAAAGAAGAGACATGCAGGCGAGTCGTGCTCACAGCAAACACAATACCAAGACGAATAACATCCAACAGCCAACAGACTTTACCTTCTATCGTTGTGCAACATTTTAATATTTCCAAAAGAAGTTTTTCTCGTGGAAACAGCTCGTAGAGCATCACTGACGCCTCGTTTCCACGTAGCTGTGTGTGCGTATGCAGGTCAACTAAATCCATATATTCCAATAGGAACCTCCCTGATCTCCGATGTGTTTGTGAAACTCCTTCTATCTTTTCTTCCGGAGTGCATTATGCTTCACGTACGTTAAAAATTTGAACTTTTGAAACAGATTTCAAACAGACCATATGCACTTTCTGCCGCAGGAAGTTAGCCTAAAAACGAATTAGCTAACAGGCTATTACACTCAATTCAGTCGGCTGACCATGACCATGTTGATGTCTGTGTGAAAATGAGGCATAAAGGTCTTGGGCAAATTAATCTCACGCCAATTAGAAAATTCAAGCCCACCTGTCTCTATGAGTCTCTGCACACCGAATCAGAAACTCTTGTATCTTTTGGTTCAGGTTTTTTTTTTCCGCAGCTGGTTCGATTTCTGCAAATTAATAATCTGACGTATGTCTACACCTTCTGCTGTTCATCATGCTTTGTGGGCACGACGTAAGTCATTTACAACAACAGAAATAAGCAGGAAGAAAAACACCAAAACCAACCAAACACACCAGGACCTAAACACTCACAAACGATGAGTTTGATCTTATCTGTTGTGTCCAAACTTTAATCAAACCTCATGCATGTTCAAACTGCTCAACAGGAACCTCGCCAGACAGTGACCTTTACTTAAATACCAAGAAGACGAAACGGAAACACAGCCAGGATTTAATCGATTATATTTTTTCTCCTATTTCTTTTATAATATATGAACGTGTCTGAGGATGCATGCAGAGCAAATCACACACCACAAGCATCGGAGGAACAAAAAAGCCATTCACAAAATCCCAGAGGGGATTCTGACAGCTAATTAACTCGCAGCTACTTCATTAACCGGAGACTCATTTGTCTCTTCATTCTCTTGGTGATTGACTACGTCAACTTGTCAGTCGGAAACACACGGCAAACAACACTGCACATTCACTCACTGAACACACAAATCAGGCAAAATGTCCCAAAAAACAGATCTGACTTTGCTAGAAAACTCCAGGTGGCACTAGAAAGTTTAATGTCTAGTCACAGGAGAAAGTAAAGTGATACTTCAGATGTTAACTTGAGGAAATCCATCAATAATAAAGACCAATGAACCCTGAACATGTCGGGCTTCTTTTACCATTAAGGGACATTTGTGAGGAACCCTGAAGTGGCATGGACCCCGAGGCAGCCAGCTAAGGTGCTTACACCATGCTTTAATTCGCTTATGGTAATTTTACCCACTTATCTATTATTGGACAATGATGTGCTGCTGATTAAAAAAGGCCACGGGCAGCACTTCACCCCAACAGGGAGCACTACGACACCCACAGAACCAAACCATGCCTTAAAAGGACCAGACAACAGAGCAAACACAAGATGCACTCAGCAGGACACGATACTAACTTGGGAGCAGTGAGAGGGAAAACCTTGTGTGACCGACAGCACAGAGACAGAGGAAAGAAAGAGAAGATGAGGTCATTAGAAAACACATTCACAGTTTGCTTTGTGTCAGCAGGACGACTTCCGCTACAGAGAGGTGAGTAAAGGTCAGAGGTCAGAGATGAACCCAATGTCCTCGCACAACTGAGGATGCAGAGCTGCCGAATCTGTGAGTGAAGAGAGACTCTGAATGAAGAGACACGGAGGGGAAACATCTCAGAGAGTCTTCTCTGTACACAATTTACAGTATGACACACACATCATTTACACATCTGGGGTCCTCAAAAATAACAAGGTTAATTCCATCACTAATGTGGGGCTTAAACAAGTTGAAGTTGATGTTTGCAGCTCCACATCCTGCTCCAGTATGCTGTTATTTCTGTACTACTGATGAAAGTAGACATGGAGCTCTGTGTACACTCAAATAACAGTAACAGGATTTTTGACTTCAGGCCGTGAGCTTTTTAATGTCACATTTCCATATTGATTAGAGGTGATGTATTTATGCACTCTGCTGCAGCTGTTTTCACACAGAGAGGTGATAAAACCACCTGGTTTAAAGTCCCCATGAAATGACAAATACATTTTTCCAGTTTTCATCCTGTGTCCCTGTGTTAATTGATTCTTCACTGTATCTCTTGTCTTTTCTCTTCCTAAAAACCAGGTGAAACAGTTTGAAATGTTTGATGAGTCATCCTGTGCTCAGGGCCATTCACAAAAACTCATCTAATCAAATGAGACTCAGGCTTCCTAGTTGACCAATAGTCATCATTTAGGCTCATTAGTCGACTAGTCGCCCGCATGTTTACGATATTAATGTAATGATTGAATGATATATTTTGGTGGTTTGAGTTGAAGGTGTGAGGAAGAACAGTATCAGTAACATTGTTAACACTGTGCTACATTACAGAGAAATACAAAACCGTACTAATGAACCTTCATTAATATAGGCCTATATTTTATCTACAAGTGCACGTCACACACTGAGCGAGCCGCCTGTTAATGATGCTGTGGGCTAATGGGCATGTAGCTACTTCCATGTTTCAGATGATACGTCATGTTTGTAGTCGACCAATGAAGATGAGTTTACATATCACCTTGGGTTCGTCCTTCACCTTCTCAAAATGATCCCACACTTTGGATTTCCTGCCCGACATGTTATTAACTAGCCTGTGGAATAACCGCAGGTTCCAGCCCTGGAAATTAACCTGACTCCTGTCTGACTGCTGAGCGTGGACACTTCCTGTGTCTGTCCTTTCAAAGTAAATTCCCACATGGTCCAGTCATATAGGTTTTGATTTATTTTGACAAGGCGCAGCTCCTGATAGAGTTTCACTTTGCTTGTTTTTTGTGCAACTAAGCGACCAATGAATTCTTGCTGAATAATAAACTTTCTGGTTGACTAAAGTAGCAATATGGAGAGAGATGGGAGGAGATGTGTTTTTGGATGTCAGTGGACAAAACCTTTGTTTTTGTTTCCAAAACAATGTGGCTGAATCCATTCATCTCCCTCGTCCACCTCCTGATCTAATGGTGACCCGTCTTCCTAACTGGATGCGATGCAAACAACCCAGTGAATGAACATCAGATTGTTTCAGTGTTTCCTAGTGAAGACGTCCTAACCTGCACCGTGTGTCACACAATCAGGCAACGCAACGCGTTGCTTGTTAGAAAAACTGCTCACACTGGCTCTATTTTGGTGAAGCTTTACGACACTTTTTCACATCCCATCCACCACAGTTCACTTGCTGTATGCTAGGAGGAGTTGTGAGGGAGGTGTGTGTGGCCCGCCCACTTTTTAGTGGTCCAATAAAATGCGTAGGATTTGATTTAAATCCCTCTTGTAACTGTGCACCGCTCAAATTTTCTGATTCACTGGGAAATGTGTCAAAGCACAGACGTTAAAGATGCTCTAACTTCCATTTCACGGGCACTTGAAGGTAAGACAGCTTAGTCTATTTGCTAATCAGTAAATATCAGATCGCCCTCTATAATAAATCTGGGGAATGTAGCAGCTGTCAGTAGGTCATAATTCAACTTTGACACTTGGTGCAGGTTTAACTTCAGATGGATAAATTGGCTAACCTTGCTGTAAAGGGACAGCTTGATGCCGTCCACATGTCCAGGAGACCTGTGTGTGTTTAGGATGATACTGACTGTGTGGTACTGCAGGATAATGTTCAGAGGTAAGACAAGGGCAGCCAGACTGTGTGTGTGTGTGTGTGTGTGTGTGTGTGTGTGTTTGTGTCCAGAAGGTTCCCTGACCTTTACCAGCAGCCAGAATAACCAACAGGTGTTTGGCCTCTTCAGTGACACAGTAATCGTATCACACTGTGAACTGAGGAAACACTGCACGCATGCTGGGTAACTGTGTGTGTATGTGTGTGTGTGTGTGTGTGTGTGAGATTATGAATAGTTATGGTAACAGTTACACACTCCCCTCCTTTCAAGTCAAGTCAGTTTTATTTATATAGCGCCAAATCCTAACAAAAGTTATCTGAGGACACTTCTCATGTAGAGACTGTATAGCTCCTTCACACCACACTGTACACATACTCAAGTCAAAGTCCTGCTTTCAAGACCTTACTGAGGTAAAAGCATTGATTGTTGCCATGGTGATTGATGTCCAAATCAATATCCTAATGCTCCGTTTTTCTTTACCACTACTCCAAAAATCCCAAACAGCCCATAAATTAAGAAACAGTAATTCAACTTAATTCATTTACACTTAGTGATAGACCTTATTTTGCGACTATGACAGTTTGAACACCTGTGACAGGCTTACACATACACTAACAAGATGCTGAAAAAGTCTGGAATAGTTTCAAAGTTTGTGAAGGTGATCCCCCAAATATAACAAACACTGGCGCAGCACAGATGCCAAACCAGCTCGGCAAATCACCTGAAAACAGTAAGTAACAGCTCAGCAAAGCCACAAAGAGACAAACTGTCACATTATTTTAGGAGCCCGACTTTTTGATTAATCACAGATATACTCGCTGAAGCTTCGATGTCCCCAAACTGGTATTCGGACCAGCCCTGATCAAAATATACTTAAAGTACCGAAAAAACTGATTATGCAGAATCATCGATTTTAGTGAGCTGCTTCCTCACAAAATGAGCATTTATGAATCTGATCCATTATTGTTTATAAGTTAGACTCATGTTTTGTTTTCGGGAGACTGAATGTTCTGATATGCCCACGCTTCTCCTTTTTCTCAGGGTTAAAGGTCAGCAGAACAGAGCTGAGGAGTTACTAATCTAGAGTCAGATGAAACGTTTCTCCGACAGTCTGTGCTGAGGTGTTGGTCAACATGGCAGGATACTGTTGCTAAAAGACAGCAGGGATCTCAGAGGTGAAGCTGCTGAGGACGTTCGGAAAAAGCCAAAGAACCAGTTTGTCTAAACTTCAGTAAAATCACTAACGCCTAGCTTCACATAAAGACTAGAGTGAGGAGGAAACAGCAGCAACCTGACTCTGTTCGAAGATTAACTACTAATGTCTCTGAGGGCCTTTTCACACGTGACGGTCCAAACCAAGGTTTGTGTTTTTGGTGATTTGCTGTAGACATTTGATTTGGATAGTTTCACGTTGAAATGATGCAAGTGCACTACAGAACTCTACATGATGGGTCTACATGCTGTCATCATTGTTAATGTTCTGTTGTCATCACTCACATCCCATTGTCGTTGCCTACATCCTGTCGATATCACCTACATGACTTCTGATTCTCTGCCTGAGCCTGACTGGGTGCGACCTGACCCGATGGATTCAGACCAGGTTGGGCTGTAATTTCTCAGTACTCTCTCAGGCTTGAATCAGGGTCGGGTTCTGGCCAATTTAACTGTACTTTCTTGAAATGAAACTGCCTGTTCTGTGTAAATGACAGGAGCTGCATTGGACTCAATCAAGAGAGAGAGAGACAGACAGACAGCAGGGGGACTGCATTAGAGAAATAGAGAGTAAAGGAACAGCGGCGCAACATAGTTATGAACTAGGGGACAAATAGCGCACAGGACTTGACAGGAAGATGAAAAAACATGGAAGAGAGGAGATGCAAAGTGACTTGCTGGCAGCCTCTGCCTCCCCTGCTGTGCGAGAGATGTGCCTAACATGCAACGGAGAGCAGTGATCATCATCTGTGCTCACCCTCAAAAAAAAACAAGATGGAGACGGCTAAAATACCGAAGCTTCAAAACGAGAGTCTACAAACCAATGACTGACGCCATGGTGGCTATGTCCATCATCTTATACAGTCTTCTCCTCTCCCCATGTGCAGCTGTGGCATATTTTGTTATGTTGTTTTTCCAGTTCTGATGACAGCATGCCAGAACTTCCTGTAATTAATCCAAAAGCCTGAACCATCCAAAAAATGTTCCCGCAATAGAAATGATCTGAACCATAGAGCGGTATGATCTGAATTATGAGACCACATCTTTTAGTTGGACCAAGGTTCAGCTGTTTGGTTCGGACCGTGGTCTGGGAGAGGTTTTACCCTTGTGACTTTGGTTTGGACCAAACAAGGAAGGTATGAATAGGCCCCGAAGCTCCTGAATCAATATGTGGGGTCTCTTTTGTTTAATCTGCGCACAAACAAAACCGTGACTTCCTCATTAAAAGCCTCAGAAACAATAACACAATAACAATAGTACTTATCTCCTGTCAGAATCTGATATAAATTCAACACCAGTCTGATAAACGTGGTTCTTTAGCTCCTCCTGATCACCTTTTTATCCCCTCTGCCTCTGAGAAACAAACTCCTGCCATGTTCCCTCCTCTACGTCTCTACGTACCCAGCAGGCCGACCCGCCTGGACGGCTGCCATCTCTCTCAGAGTCTCCTCTGAGTACAGGCCGATCGGTGAGTTATACTGCTTCCTCTGAGTGGGGCTGACCGCTGCCCTTTTCCTAGGAGAGTCTGCCTCGCTGCAGGCCGACAGGCGGCCATTCACCTGCACTGACGGAGGCTTCAGGTGGAGCAGGAGGGGGAGGAGACGGAGGGGAGGGGGCACAGAGTGTTGGGTGACAACTATCAATATCTGTCAATGTGTTGATGCCTGATCGACTTTTATTGTAAATGTTTTATAAATATCTTTTTTTAAAACAATAAGAGCCTAAAAGTAAAAGTGTTAATATTTCTGCATCTCATTTGTTTTTATTTTTTTTATACAAATATCATAAACGTAGATTTTAGGGGGGACAGGGGACATGTCTCCCTCAATATTTAGAACATGTAAAACATGAAAGTAGAAGAGAACTTGACGAGATTAAATACATTTCCAACATAAACTGATGCAGTAAAGGCACAATTTAATGCACTAAATTCACCACAATGCAGGAAATTAAGTGTGTGACACTCCAACAGTTTTATGTGTCTCCCCTGTGTTGAAACAAAACCTACACCCTTAACACATACAAAATTAAGTTATTATAGAATATGATTATCAGTATCTCTGCTACCTTTGTCTCCACCCTAACTTAAATCTGTTAAATTACATCTGCCTCACACATTAATAGCTAAAAAACAACTGCATTTCTTTGAGTTTTATTTTTGTGATGTCGTATTTAAATATCAAAATATACAGTATTATTATAGACGTCTTATAAATACCTCTCACTGCTTCACAGTCTTATCATTGGACCCATAAAGCTGGAAACTGTTTATATAACCACGTCTCACTCCCAGCTTGTCAAAACCGATGCTTGGCCACTGACACCAACACACAGGGGCACACTTTAGCAGCGGTATTAGCATTTGTGTATGATCCTGGCAACTACTGTACTATATATAGCAAGAAAGTCTGCACTGGGTGCAGGTGAACGGGTCAAACAAACTCCAGACTTTCACTCAGGAGCCCGCCGTGTGTGCCTCAGGCGAAACCAAAAGTCAGTTGAGTTGATTTAATAAAGATGTGCTGTGCTAGTATATGTAGCATACTATGTTAGTGATGTATGTCACGTCATATATGTTATGTGATGTGAATTTTCATCAGTAACAAATGTACTTATTTTAGGCCAAACCTAAAGAAGAAAACCTATAAAAAAAAAAAAACTGTACGCATTACACAAGCAGAAACATTTCCTGTTGGAACAGATGTTTATTTTCAACAGAGGCCATGCATGTAACGAGCATTAATTGACATGAATTGTCTCTGAACGTCTAAAACTGACTCAGAAGAGTACAGAGAGCATCACAGTTTCACGTGACAAGCCACCAACCAAGCATCGGTATTTGACAAGTTGGGGATGAGAATGTGTTGGTTGATGTTTCAGAATTAAATCTGTCAATATATATGTATAAGTAATGAAGATAATTTCATTTTGGACGAACATCTTCAGGTTCCTCCAGTAGCTTTTGAACATGTAGGTGAATCTGTCTTGGTATATTATTTTAGACATGAATGAAGTGCACATCTTTCTTCCTGCGGCCACCAGGAGGCGACAATTCATACTGTTGACCCAGCGTGACGGACACTGAGAGGATGGAGGCTGTGTGTGTGTGTGTGTGTGTGTGTGTGCGCCCGCGCATGGGCCCATACACATGCAGCATTTTGATTGTTTATTTGATTGTTTTTGGCAGAGCAGAGCACATCTACATTCTCATGTGTGCTCCATCTCACCCGTCTAGATTTTGATTCTTACAGAGAGAAAAATTAAATCTGTACATATGCTGGAAAAACTGTCTTGGAAACAAAGCACAGATTTACATCAAAAGTTAAAAAGGAGAAAAATATAAACTGTTAAAACTTAATACTGCAGCTTTGGCTCAGGAGGTAGAGCAGTCGACTAACACTCAGAAGGTTGATGTCCCTGTGAAAGTGTCCTTGGAACCCCAAACCGCTGTGCCACCACTGTACGACTGTGTGTGTGAAAAGAGGGAAATGCATTATGGGTACCTGTTGATGAGGGATCAAGGGAATAGTGGCGTCGATTCTTGGCGGTGGCATCATGATGGGACGCTTCGCCCTGCAGGAAGAGAAAAAAAACAGAGGTCATGATACACAGGTGATGACTTCTGTTTAACTTTTATGTTTTTTGAAAGTGTGGGGCAGAGTTATTACAGGTCTTTATTTCTCATTTGTATTTTTTTCTATTTTTTTTTTTTCTAATTGAGTTTAGCTTCAGTTCAAACGGACGTGTTTTCAGACTTCTGACGAGGGCTGGGCGTTATGGACAAAAATTCATATCTCGGTATTTTCTACAAATGTTCAGTTGCAAGCTGATCCACGGCCTGTTATTGTTGCTGCATGTGTTTCTCCACAGCAGGGCAGTTAAAAGAAGTTTACCTGCTGGAGGTGAGCTGTTTGCAGAGGTGCAGTAAGAGCCAGTTGTCTGCAGCTCTTCATCAACATCTCACTGTGGCTGTTTCTGATTTTACTTTCCTCCCTGCTGTAATTTTTATACTTGTCTTTATTGAAGAAAAGCCGTTAATAAAGTTTTGCTTCTTCGGTAATAAACATATTTTAATTCCTATAAGGTCTTAAAAATAAAAGTCTCCTGTTATTTTGTTACATAAAAACTTTTATTGTGAAGCAGCAAAATAAGGAAATGTGGAGTTTTCCAGCAGCAACTTCACACAACTTCTTCTGAAACAGCAGGTAGCGAACATGAGACAGTAAAATAAAGCAGATATCTGAAGTAAAAACAGAAACTAAACTCTGAACCAGAGATTCAGTTAGAAGCTACAGACATATTGACAGCTGAACACACACAGACTTTTAAAAATCATCTTTCTCTCTGGTCTCCTGCAGACAGAGTTGAGGAGAGGAGGGGCAGCCCAGCTTTTGGACCGACTCTGGAGAAGGTTTATCTCAGAGCAGCTCAGTGTGGCACGGTGCGTCTGAACTGATAATGGAAATGCAAATCAGCACAGCATAACTTGGAGCAGCCAGAAGTTATAGGAGGAAAAGGCCCACAGTGTTGTACGTGTGCTACTGCGGTAACTTCATTCATATCACAGACTGGATAGGTGTAGCATGTGCAACATACAGTCTGATGTCTCACTGTAGACTAATGAACAGACATATTAAACAGAGGAGCAGCTCTGTGTCTCTCTGAGTGTTGATGGAGAACTTGTGAGTGGGGCGGAGCTGTGCGGAGAGTGTGAGAGGTGAGTGTGTGATGGTGTGGACATTTTGCTGCAGGTCAAAGATAAATACATAACAGTTTATTAAGAAATCAGAAGGTTGTTAATGAAATTATAATTCTCCCTTTGTCATATAGCAGGAGCTCTAAATGTAAAGATAATAGAACAAAAACAATGAGTGCTATCTTTGAGTGGATCTGGCTCTCTGCTCTCATCCCTGCTGTCCTTAAATTTCACAGTTATTAAATAATCAAGTTCACGTTGCAGTTTAAGACAGAAAACAATAAATGTCATCTTTGTTTGCTTTAACTTTCTGATATAAACTTAATTTCTCCAGAAAGAAAAGCACGCTTGATCTCCTGAGTGGAAACAGAGATTGAGTTGTGTAAATGTGAAATCATGAGCAGTTTGCTGGCCTCTCATTTTATCCATTAAGTCCTTCAGTATGTGGGTCACCATTATGGAAATGCTCTGTTTACTGATCAACACAAGGACGCTGAGAGAAAACAAACAGTGATACTGTCAACATCTTCTATTCCCCTGCAAAACGAAGGCAGCAATAAATGAAAAACCTTCAAACCTTTTCAGATAAGACGAGCAGAAGGTCGGGGGTCAGAGGTCAGAGCACACTGAATCAAGAATTATACAAAGAGTGAGTATTACATGTTAAGAAAAGCTGACCTGTCCTCACTACAGGAGGATTCAGGTCAAATGAACTCAGCAGTGGAAGAAAACAGCCCAGTTGCCAGAAGAAAATGTTGGCATTGTGCATTTCTTCAAACCGTGAATACATTTCATATCAACAGAGGAGGGTATGGTGGACAGTGTGTCACCAAGACAAGACACCTGCCAAGCTGCAGACCACAGTTCAAGACTAGAAAACAACAAAACTGGTATGTTTTTAGCTAAACATTGCCATTTCCAGCTGCTTCTTCTGTAGCCTACGCTGTTGTGAGCATTTATACTTGTGTGGTGGTGTGTCTGTGTCACTCTGCAGTTACACCTACAAAACACTAGTCAGTGGAGGAGGCTTCCATGAAGTGCTGTGAAGTTTAGTTGATTCAAGACACACATTAAACACACATTAAACATGGCTTAATAGAGACAAACACAAGTACACAAATCAGCTTCACTATAACTCGCAGCATTCACAGACAAATACTTGTCTTTATCTGGACACATTTTCCCCACAAATACAACATGCTAATGTTATTTGCACAAGCCTATGGCATTTTACATTGTATAAATTAGCCTAGCGATGAGCAGAGATTTCCTCTGCTCATATGAAGCCAGGATAAATCCCAAAGTATAAATCCCTGAAGGATAAATCACACACAAAAACTAAAATGCTATTTTAGTGGAGGCTTTATTGTCTTCACAATTAATTGTTTCTTATCTGTGAAATAAAAGTAAATAAGAGCTTCGTTTCCACTGAGGGAAATGGTTTCAGCTTACAGAAACAGACAGGAGGTCTGCATCGCCACGACATATAGTTACATTTCTTAGAAGGTGCACGTCAGGCTATGGCATAGGGTACGGTCCGGCGTAGGGTACGCCGATTCGACACAGAAGTATAAATCCCGCATTAGGCCCCAGACATGGCTGCTTTGTAGCAGCGCATCGCTAATTTTCCAGCTGGGATAGAGGCACAAAAAGCTTTTTACAGAGACATTGCTGTGTTTTCTGTCTGGATCATGCCCCCAAAACCAGATATTCTTCGCCCAAACGCTATCTTTTCCAAATCATACCCAAGTGATTTTTGTGCCTAAACCTAACCACACATTAACTGCTACATAATAACATGCAAACGTAATGTATCCGTGGTTTGCAGAGATGTACAGTGCCAACATTTTAGAAACGCAGTGCCGATATCTCCAACATTCAGCAACTCACACCAAAACAATCTCAATCAATAAACAGCACTACAGGTAAGAGTGAAGATATGCCTTTTTTATTTTGGGGTGAACTGTCCCTTTAAAAGCAGAGTATTTTGTTGTTTAGTTTAGTTGTTTAGAATGAGTCCGAACACTGAAGCAATATATCTCAGATAAAGTGTCTTACAGATCCACAACTGACAATCACAGGTGCATTATGGTCCCTTTGTGCTGCGGCAGAAAAAAGACAGTGTGACCCTGAAATGAAAATTGATTGTTTTGTATGTTCTCTGCATTGTGTGTGTGTGTGTGTGTGTGTGTGTGTGTGTGTGTGTGTGTGTGTGTGTGTGTGTGGGTGGGTGAGTTTTCATCAGAGGAGGAAGTGCAGAGGGGTCAAATAGCCTCTATTATATTTGCCGCTGTGAGTCAAAGCTCCACATCTATTCCATCTTGTCTCCTGTACGCCACCACAGGCCTTACCGTCCACTTTACACTCATAAAACACCACCAGTGACATGAAAATTTCATGAGGAAAAAACCCCAGGAGCTCCTCATCTCCTCTTCATCACCCAGAGAGTTTGCAGTTATGAGACTCCTCTGTGGAACAACATTCATTTCCTCACTGTGCTTATCAGATTCTTCTGTCAGATACCTTCAGGGTACCAGATGGATGATTTCACTCTATTTTGGTCCTGATTGACACCAGACAGCCTGATGTTCAACATCTGCAGCAGTCATCCTCTGCCTCTGTTTACTCTGCAGCATTTAAGACACCCAGCAGCCACACACCAATCTATAATCCTCCATTTTTAAACTTAATATGAGAACAGTGGTGGAATGTGACTAACTGGATCGCTGTATTTAAGAACACATTTGAGATACTTGTACTTTTCTTTTCATGCTACTTTCTACTTCTACTCCCCTGCATCTATCTGACGGCTTTAGTTACTTCACAAATTTAGATTTGTAAACACAAAACAGTTAAAATAAAATATGTTTTGTTAAACCCTTTTCTTCACGTTGCTCCTCGGTGGCTTCATCAAGAGACACAACGTCTCTTTCCATGCTGATGACACAGAGCTTTAAAGGGAAACTTAAGTATTTTTGGAATCTATTTTACGGTGTTCTTGAAAGTGGTCCGGCATTGAGAGAGACTGTGCAGCCAGCAGCGGTGAAACAGACCGCAATTAAATTGTCACAGCACTTGTGCACCGTCAACGTCCACTGAAGGATTTGCCACTGACAGGCTCACATTGTTATTAGAACTGTCTGACAACATTACAGAAAGGACCCTACAGAGACATGAAACATTTTCTTTACCTTATGCTGGTCTGTTTGTTATTGGGTGTAACCAAGTCTCCATCAAGGTGAAGTCTTGTTCTGAAACCTCCCAAACTTAACCACATTCTTAGACTCACTTCATAGATAACACTGAGCTACACTTTCTGTACTCTAACACAACAAACTCTTCCTGGAGCTCCTCTCTGCAACTCTCACTGATGTTTCCACCGTTGTTTTGCCTGGTAATCTTCGTCAACAAGTTGGAAAAAGTGGTCAAGTTGTGCTGCAAGATCACTGGTGTTACCTTTAATAATGTACAGCATCTGTATGAAGAGAGGGTCACCTATAAAGCTCCGTCAATTGTCTCAGACTCTCAGCATCCCCTCCAGGTTTAAATGTAGCACAAAACGTTACGTACAGATCGTCCTTTGTCCGGTCTGCTATCGCTTATCTTCACCAGCAGTAACTCTGAATGTCCACGATTTACCCTTGACAGTGTGTGATACTAGCCTGTAGCCTGTTTTGCTGCTGCCTCTGCAATGCTCTTTTTCACAACCACACCAATTTCAGAAATACCAAAAGTTCCCTTAAACTAATCTCATTAACTGATGTAATAAATAGGAAATGTTTTTGAGAATACAGAGGAAGGATATCAGCTAATATGAACTACTTCTTGTTGAGTCGGTGCAGTTACTATTTCTTTAATAGTTGAGTTTAGTAATTAGTTTCAGTCCTTACTTTGTCATGGTGAGCGCCAGGTTGTAGTTGGCCATCTTGATCTTGTTCTGAGCCTCCAGGTGAGTCATCCCGTCGGTTCCAACGCCATCAATGGCGACGATGACATCACCCTGGACCAGGTTGCCCTGCGCCGCCTTGCTGCCGGGAGTGATCTGTCAAAACACAAACACAAAGACTTTTACAATCTTCAGTCGGACACATGATGGGATCATATTTTGTTTCTCTGAGTGACTTGAGACAAGAAAAATCCACTCTTCCTTTCAAGGTTTGAAAAATAAAGAACAAAAAAGTAAATTGAACAAAGGACCATTTCCTGTTATCGTGTCATCTTCTTTTAGAGACACCCTGAATGTCGGCTCAGGTCACAGCACAGGTCAGCGCACATGTCAATCTGCAACTTTCAATTACTTAATCATGAAAGGCTGGATGGAATAGGGTTCACTGTTTCACATAAAACAATCAATCAAATGGGAAGAGAATTAATCAAAAGGTTAATGATTAATATGTTTCCACACTAAAGTCCCCTTAATCTGAAAATCCACCCCAGGAGTTTTGACCCTCATCCACAACACAGTTACACAAACAGAAAGGGCCGACAAGTTGTGTGTTCAGATAAACCAGATTCATCAGGGACACAGACTATGACATCACTGTTTGTTAAAAACACTAAATATCAGAGAGTCTGCAGATTTTAAAATGCTGCAAATCCTGGATAAATCTTTAACTTAGAGCACCAAAATGTGTTTAAAACAAAAGAATATGATTAAGAGGATTAATGAATCTCATAGGAAATCATCATGTCAGCTGGGTGCTGCTGGGATTTGAGCTGCATGTCATCCTCAGATGAGACATTGCAACACCAGCTAGAGTCTACGAATGCATGAAAGAGGCTTTCTGCATAGGCCCGAGGAAAGGCAGAGGGGCCCCAGGACAGAGCCATGCCTCCAAATATCATACTGCAAATGGAAATAAAGTTTTACTTTTACTAAAGTATTTCTGACTGAAATATAAAAATGTGCTATGAAAATGTTCATTTTATTACAATAAATAAATACAGAAGATGCCAAGTTAGCAAACAAGCAGATAAAGCGAGCATATAATTTGGCATGTGACAATCGTTCATCAAATGTCGGCGAAGAACAAAAGCTGCCAGATCTTGCGATTGTTATTTCTGTTAAGTGCGTGACAGCCGTGTTTGATTTGAGACAACACTACCTTATCAAAATTCATGCACTATGCAATTACGTGTATAGTGTGAGCAGTGTACTACATGTGAGTATACCAACGAGAGTATCCAATTTGAGTCATAGCCTAAGACTTGCGGTCTACAGCAGCATCCTGACATTTACTCATAAACACCAAACACAGAGTCCAGCTGAGGCTGATGGGGACGCCATGTGTTCTGCAGGTATTTAGTCATAAAACAAAGTATTGGAAACATTAAAATGTTGACCTGATGATTGGGCTACATAGTCACAGGCTCACTCAAGTTATTACAGTTCATCCTGACTTGAACATCTGAACCACATTCTGTCACAATCCATCCCATAGCTGTTGAGATATTTTCAGTCTGGAACAAAGTGTTGGACCCACAGATTAGCCGACACGCTGCTAGTGTGGCTAAAAATAGTGATTAGTGGGGGTTTAATTTAACAGTGATCTGAAAATAAACATCATAAGCTTCCTGGATGAGCTCTGAACCCCAAACCATTGAAAAGAAACTTCATCCATTAGACCTGTGACCTCAGCAGGACACACGGCTGCCGATGGAAAACGCGTCCAACTTGTGACCTTTAACTTAGTCGATCTGTAACCTCGAGGCCTCTGTGGCGCCTCGAATACAATGACGGGACGCAAGTGTTCATGCCTGAGTGTTAAACCCTGGACAGCTGTCCATACACCGCTAACCCCCCGCTGAGTCACATCCACTCACTCTAATTACTCCCCAACTCCTCTCTGCTCTTTCTCATCCTCTTGTCCACATAATTTCCATCCAGGCAATACACTGTCTCCAGTCTGAATGCTGTGACCTTTGACCTCTACATCACAAGGAGAGAATGGAAGCGGAGGCGGAGCAGGTGAAGTGAGGAAGGAAAGTAATGAGGTTTGAAAGCGGAGGAAGAAAAATCAGATGTGGAGGACAAGATGATGAAGATGTGGGACGGGGAGGTCACAGAGAAGGTGAAGGAAGAGGAGGAGGTCATGTAGGTGTAAGAAGGGGAAATGAGGTGGAGGAGGACATTAAGGAACAGAGGGAGCAGGTGGACAAGAAGATGGATGTAGGAATAGAGGTAAGATACAGATACTGTGTACTAAGGAAATATTAAAAGTAAACTGCAATGCAGTCGTATTCCTCCTCGAGCCAGTCATGTTACAGTTTACATCCATGTCTATCAAAACTCATATGAAGCCATGACAGTTGACAATGACACAAATACGGATGTTGCTGCAAGGAAGCTATAAATTCTAAAACATGGATGCTTCACGCACATCTTCAACCCAGCAGCACAGAATATCTACACAATCAGCACAGTTTCAAGGTGGACACCCAAGATGTCGCACATTCTGTTCCTGAGTAATGACGTTGGGTGATGTCCAGAAAATATTATTTATGCAGAGCATTATGATGTCACAGTGAAGCTGACCTTAAAGCTTTTGGATATAAAATATCAACACTTTATCATTAGATCCTATGAGACATTTGTGTGAAATTTTGTCATAATTAGTGTATGAATTCTTGAGCTATGGCCAAAAACATGTTTTGTAAGGTTACATTGACCTTGACCTCTGACCAATCAAAATCAAGTTCATCCTTGAGCCCAAGCAGACATTTGTGCCAAATTTGAAAGAATTACCTTAAGGTGTTCTTAAGATATTGCAATTACGAGAATGAGACGAATGCAAGGTCACAACGACCCTGACCTTTGACTTCCAAAATCTAATCAGGTCATCGTTTATTCCAAGTGAACACTGGTGCCAAATTTGAAAATATTACCTAATGGTGTTCTTGACCTTTGACCCATGACCACTAAAATCTAATAATTTAATTGCTGGTCCAAGTGGATGCTTGTGCCATATTTGAGGAAGTTTCCTCGGGTTCTTACGATATCATGTTCACAAGGATAAGATGAACAACGTCACGGTGACCTTAACCTTTGACGACAAATTCTGACCAGTTCATTGTTGAGTCCAAGTGAACATTGGTGCCAAATTTGAAAAAATAACCTCAAGGTGTTCTTGAGATATTGCATTCACGAGAATGAGACGGACGCAAGGTCAGAACAGACTTTGACCTCTGACCATCAAAATCGAATCAGTTCATTGTTGAGTCCAAGTGGATGTTTTGTGCCAAACTTCAAAAAAGTCCCTCAGAGCCTTATTGAGATATTATATTCACAAAAATGTAACAAATGCAAGGTCACACTGACCTTGACCTTTGACCCATGACCACCAAAATCTAATAATTTAATTGCTGAGTCCAAGTGGATACTTGTGCCATATTTGAGGAAGTTCCCTCGGGTTCTTACAATATCATGTACACAAGAATAAGACGAACAACGTCACAACGACCTTGACCTTTGACCACTAAATTCTAATCAGTTTATTGCTGAGTCCACGTGAATGGTGCCAAATTTGGGATTCTTGAGATATTGCTTTCACAAAAATGAGACGGATGCAAAGGTCACAGCGACCTTTGACATCTGACCACCAACATCAGTTCATTGTTGAGTCCAAGTGGATGTTTGTGCCAAACTTCAAAAAGTCCCTCAGAGCCTTTTTGAGATATCACATTCACAAGAATGTGACAGACGCAACGTTCCATTGACCTTGATCTCAGACCTTTGACCACCGAAATCTAATCACTTTATCGCTAAGTCCAAGTGGATGCTCATGCCAAATTTAAAGAAATGCCCTTGAGGAACTCTTGAGATATCAAGTTCACAATAATGTGATATACAGATGGACAATCTGAAAACATACCTCCTCAGGACATGGTGATTGGCAGTGCAGAGGAATAAAATCACTTCCTGTCCACTGTTATACTATCACATATGTTTGCACCTATTAAGTTTCTGTCAGTTGACTAACACATTTAATAGAAAGGTATCTCTTCAGGGCTGTTATGGACGGCAGGATCAAATTCAGAAATCTAGAAACCGTTAATACTCCATACAGTGAAATCATCCTTTAACCATCTGTTGGGAGAAGAGTCTGAACAGACTGCTGAGGAACTGGAGATGTTTGCAGTATTAACAGGAAAACCTGCAGTTGAGACCTGGATGAGACTGTACTATAGATACACACACACACACACACACACACACACAGAGTCATAAAGGTTAAATAGTGCTCTGACACTTAGCTGCAGCTCATGTCGCTCTGACTCATCTGGCTGACATTTCTCCTGGATGCCGGTTAATGTGGCGTGAATGAAACATCGCCCCCTGGAGACGAACTGTTAGCTGCCGCTGACAGTGACAGACAGCGGGGAGCCTGTCCCAGTTTACACTCTGCTCAGCTTACTGGTGCACTTCCAGTTGGAAGAGTTCCTGCACACTGAAGACTGAGGACAGGATAAATTCAGCAGCGCTCCAACACAGGAGGAACTGCAGTGGCTGAGCTGGTTATAGAGTGACGTCTTCTTCAACATTTGCAAAGCTGAGTTTTCTCATTAACAAACAGAAGTTACATTTACATCAGTGTTTCTCACCCAAACTCATTGTGTGGATCCTTGAGGTTTAACAATCGTGCTGAATCCATTTCCTTCCTTAAAAAACATTTGCAAAGATGAGTTCTTAGGCATTTTCAATCCAGTATTGTTTACATCATCTTTACAGACTTGTAATCTTCTTCTCTGTCTTTGGTGGCACACTGTTACATATTTTGGCACGTTACTGCCACCTGAGGGTCAGTGGGAAAATGTGATTGGCATTAGCAGGGAGTGTTAGATCACATGCATGATAACAGCCTACCCTGTTTTTCATGCAGGGAACAGTAACAAAGCAGGCACTGCTGGGATTTGAACCCAGGATCTCCTGTTTACTAGACAGGCGCTTTGACCAACTAAGCCACAGCACCCATGTCTGACTCACGTGGGAAAACATTTTTGATCTGACTGGGTTGTACATTAGTTTGGTACATTTCTAATCAC